CAGGGACAGACCTGGCCCGCGCCCGCGTGTCGTTGTAGATGGCGGTGATGATGCGGTCCTTTTCGTCCATGAACCTGCGGTGCATCTGCTCCAGCTTTCTGCAGTGGGGTCGCAGTCAACCCGGGCCCCTGAGCCCCCTGCTCCCTCCACCCCTCTCTGCCCGGCCCTCGCCTAGTCCTCCCTGGGACAGGTGGCCAGAAGGGCACAGCCGGGCCGTGGCTCGTGCCTGCAGTCCCAGCACTTTGGGAGGCGGAGGCGAGAGGGTTGCCTGAGCCCACAGGTGTGAGCATGACAAGACCTCATCTCAACAATAAAATAAAATAAAAAGCTAGCTGGGCGTGTTGGTGCACGCCTGTGGTTCCAGCTCCTTGGAAGGCTGAGGCAGAAGGATCGCCAGAGCCCACAAGTCGAGGATGTGGTGGCGGTGAACGTGCCACTGCACTCCAGCTGACTGACAGAATGAGGCTCCTATTTAAAAAAAAAAGTTAGCCGGGCGTGGCAGCACACACCTGCAGTTCCGGCTCCTTGGAAGGCTGAGGCGGAAGGATCGCCAGAGCCCAGCAGGTCAAGGTTGTGGTGGCCGGGGGCGTGCCGCTGCACTCCAGTCTGGGCGACGAAGTGAGACTCTGACCCAAAAAGGAAAAAATAAGAGAGCACAGAGAGGCCTTGGCTTGTCCAGGCCCATGGGCACCCGAGCCCCTGGCTGTCCTGCTGAAGGTGGTGACAGCGGCTGTGACCATGGAGCGCTCCCCCTAGGAGACTAGAAAGGACAGTGCCTCCGAACTTGGCAGGCTGCTTGCAGCGGGCACTGGCCTTTGGGTATCTTTGTTGTGGAAAGTTTGCGTCATGGTGCTCGGGAGAGGGCGCCGGAGACAGCCAGCTACTTGGTGAATGACAACGGCTGGCAGGGGAGTCCCACTTCCAACCATTTACTTCTTGTGCCTGATTTTGGCTGGCTCCAACCCTCCCTGGCAGCCAGCACCAGAGACTCACACACAAATTAGGGAAAACTGAGAATGACAGCGTTAGCCCTTCGTGCTTTCCTGCCATCACCAGTACAGAGAGGCGCCAGAGACCCATTCCGTGTGCTGCTTGAGGGACACAGAGCCCAGGCCGTGAGGCGCCGCGGCTGGCTCACTCGCCCTCCCGCCCTCTGCCCACCGCCGCAGGGAGAACAGGGGCGCACCTGAAGGCGACGTAATGCAGGCCCATGCCCGCCAGCATGAGCAGGAGACAGTATCCCAGAACACGCTGGTTGGGTCTGTGTTGCTGCTGCCTCGACTCGGGGCCCCGCGGCCTCGTGCCATGAAACTGGGCCCAGTATTCTTCGTTAGGGGGTGTCCAAGAGCTGCAGGGAGGCAGAGAAGGGGATGGCGTGGGGATGAGGAGACCCAGGGTGGGCCCACGCTGGGGCCGGGGTGCCGTACCTGTGTGTTTGGCCGGCAGACTTGGGATGTGCCGTGGTGCCAGGAGACCCGGGGGGCCTGGCTGAGCGGAGCTGGCGGTCATAGCTGCGGCGGCTCTGCTCACGGCTGAGCACGCGGTATGCCTCACTCAGCTCCACAAAGCGGCTGTGCAGGGCTGGGTTCCCAGGGTCCCGGTCGGGGTGCAGCTGGGTGGGGCACGACCCCCTTATCTCCTTTCCAGGACCCATCTTGAGGATGTACGCCCACATGGGCCCCAGCCACACCCACAGGCCCTGTCTGGTTAGTGACCCTCACCCTTGGGCTGTCCACCCTCCCGCCC